AGGGGGGGGTGCAGGGCCTGGCTGGGGGCAAGGGGAGTGCAGGGGCTAGGGCTGGGGTTAACAGTAGGGCTGGAAGGCAGGACATGTAGGTGAGAGAGGGGACTGTGGGTTGGGAGGGGCTGGGTACACTGAGGAAGGCGCATGGTGTGTGAGGAGGGTTGGGGGGCAGGTGTGCCAGGAGAGGGTGAAACCTGCTGGGGAAACAGACGTTCTAAGTTTTGCTTGGGGCCGGGCACAACCTTGGTGTTGCAAGAGACAAAGGTAACACCAAATCAGCATCACTCTGTCCCTCCGTGAGTCCAAGGCTATCCGTCCCTGGCACCTCACTTGGACTGAGGCTGACGCAGCATGAGCTTGCCCTTTGGTCTCAGTCAGGTGATTAAGCAGCACTCCAGATGCAAAGGGCTGCTGAATTGCCAGAGCCAGTTCCTAAATCACTTGTGTTTTTCTTGGCAGGAATAAAGCACTGCCCTGACTCAGCCTTGTTTTGATGATTAGGTCCGGTGGACTGGGGTGACAGTTCAGCACTACTGAGAGCAGAGTTTGAAGCCAACAAACAGGAGTTATATGCTGATGTTAGCACTGACAAACGACTCAGGCAAGTCATTTAACTTCCCTGTGTCTCTATGTTCCCATATGTAAAATGGTCATAACAAAAATATTCATGTACATTTTCAGAGTACTTTGCAATGTTGGCTTAAAGACTACTATGTCAGCAGATGCTGTTATAGCAGCCAGGGACAGATTCCACTGTATCCTCAGAGGCCTCATGCAATCGTCATTTCCAGCTCTTCCTTTTTTTGCCATTGATTCATAGGCAAGCCCTTGTATCACTAAAATCCTCACGTCCAGAAGCAGGTGCTGGTATTTCTGAATAGTGGGGAGGGGGTTACTACAGCTTTATAATAAAAATGGGATAGCATTACACCTCCAGCATCTTAAACATAAATATGGAAACGTTAATTTAGAGCCAATTTTGGGATGTTTCAGACTGTAAAGTTCTTTTAACTAGATCTGTGTTGAGGACAGAGGAGCACTTTATGGGACTGTAAATTTCATGCAAACAGTCTCTGTGAAATACAGATTCCCCCTACACACTAGCTGTTCTCTCAATATCAATCATATGCCTTGCAAGTAATGTTTCACAAATATTCTGTAAATCACAGGAAAATGCTCGCAATAATGTGAAATATGACTTTCACTTGACTGTTTCACCAGAGGCCCCTAACAGGCCATTCTCCTGTCAGCACTAACATTTGTTATGGCTAATAACATTTTCAATCACAACTATTTTGGGAAAATGGATTTATTTTAAACCTGCTTCCCCGCAAAGGAGATCCTGAAAACGCCCTGCCAAGGACACAGACTCCTTACAGAGCACAGACCGTTAATTCCCAAATGAAATTTCATCTCAACTTAATTTTCAAACATTGTTTCTTAGCCAGCTTTTTGAAGACTTTGTTTGTTTGTTTTCAGGCACTGAGGTGCATGTTAGCCTCCTGGTCATTTTTTTCAGGCTGGTTCAGACAATAGCAATAGAAAGTTACTTTTGAGCAGGTGTCTTGGGGACATTCTGACCTGATTTGGAATTTTCCTCCAGATTCCAGGAGAAAAAGCTTAAGAACTTTGTAGATAGGAAACTGGTAATATTGACTACTTGCATTACATTGAAATAAACTTCTTTTCTGAAACCCAAAGATTTTGTGTCATTTTAACTTCTCTCAAGCCACACTTTAAATGAAACCTAAAATGGTGCTTTTCTTGTGTAGGAAGTCCAAGAACTGTGTTAGATAAGGCAAGAATTCCTTCCTTCTCAGGCATGCTGATACAGCTTGGTGGAGGTCAATGCACCTGTGCTAATGCGGCTGTCTGTGACCTTGTCCCTCTTTCTGTGCCTGCGTATGCACACAGACACTGGTGTTTAACCGCCAGGCTCCCTGGCCAGTGTCTTAAAGCCAAGCACATGCGTGTCCGTGGAATTCTCACCTACCTGAAGGAACAGAGAGCTTAATCCTCTCACATATCCCCCCCGCGCCCCAAGCGCACCTTCACATTTGTCAGGCTGGAATAGGGGATGTCATACTGAGCCAAAAGCGTGCCAAAGAAATTTGGCAAAATACAGATTGCTTTATTTAACACCTGTGTGGAGGGATGGAAGGAAGTGCAGGCAAGGGATGTTTCTGGAGCTTCTGTCTTCTCACCTACAGTTCCTGTCATTTCAGGCTTTCTTAGACTGTTTAAAAATGTGCCATATAAAATACATAAGAAAAAAAACAAACAGAGCAAATATCTGTCACGCCAAAGTGCCGTGAAGCACTCTCCCAGTGCCAAGGCCAAGCACATCTTCCTGGAGCGGCTGTGGGCCCAGTCCAGATGACTGCTGCTCTATCACGTGAGGGAGGGCATGCCACACTGCTGTGCTAACAGGCATTTACAGCCCCCTTGACCCTGTCACTCCTCATAAATCCATACCTATTTGTGCTCTCATTTCACCCTATTTACTCTCTGGCAGGTCAGATATGAGACGCAGTGTTTGTATCATGAGGCTAGTGAGAAACCGAGGCTGGGGGAATGGGTAACATCAAAATGACTTTATTAACAGAGCAGAGAACAGAGTTCCTGTGGTGAAGCCACCTGCCCTGGAAAATAATCTCAAGTCTGTCGCAGATTCATTGTGCAGCTTCAGACCAGGAACTCTCCTTTTGCCTCAGTTTTCCTATCTATGGAGTAAGTACAAAGGAAAATTAGATTAAATTACTGGCTAGTAAGTGCTTTAATATTATTTGCCAGAGATTTGAAATGTGGTTCTGGTGGTAATTCCTTAGCACAGACTTTTCCTATCTTCAAAACCCTTTTTTAACTTCTTTCTCACTTTTCTCTAGGCACAGTTGATCATGACTTCTGTCAAAGAACAGGAAGCCATCAGGAAGCTCATGGTTTTCTTGCAGGAGTGGGATAATGCCCACAGAGCTGCTCGAAGCTGCATCCTGGACAACTTCATTAAAAGCAATGATGGCAAGACAGAACCAGAGCTGGAGCTGGAGTTCTCCCAGGGAGCCAGCTTGTTTCTGGCTCGCCTGACAGCGTGGCTCAGGATGACGTATCCTTGGACAGCTGGAGGTGGCGTGTGGTAGTGGGATGGAGAGGAAGGGAAAGTTCTCTACCGAAAATTTGTTTAAAGAATGAGCTTCTGAGTGGAGACATCCATATCCAGCCGTGTTCTGCAGGGTTAAAAAACCCTGGGCATCTAAAGGTGGAACTGAAGGGAAAGGCATGTAAACTGTCCCTCAGGGACCTAGAATTAGTGTGTTTTCTCATGCTGGGATGAGTGTGCTGCCTCTGTGCGCCTGTGATAGGAAGGTCCATGCTCTCTTGCAGAGAGAGTACCCGCTTCAGACCTCCACATTGCCAAAGGCAGCCTGGGGGCCACCACGATGGTCTGTAAATCTCTCCTTAGCCTTGTCAAACAGCTACATGTACAGCACATGCCTCAACAAGCTGCTCAAGTCCATTGGCATCTTCTTATCTGCTGCAAGCGGGTGAGTATAGAATGTCACTGTGTGAGACGCACTGTGGGGAAGGCACACGAGGGTGAGGGGGCGACTAGATAAAGCAAATAACAAGTCCTCAGCAGTCTTGTGGACAGGCTGTGTAAGCATTTCAGGCAAGGCAGGCCCCAGGGAGGCTTGTGGTAAGCATTTCAGATACTCTCACAACCAAATCCACTGCTTGTGCATATCTCCAGAGCCACTGGGTCACTGACACGATGTGGAAGGAGTGTGGTGAGAGTCTGAGTGCGGACATGGGGCTTTCTGTGCCGGTGGCTCAGTGTCTGAAATGAGCACAGGGTAAACCAGGAGCTGGTGAGCTGCTGGCAGCACAGTGTGCTGCAGCGAGGCAGGAGGTGATGCTTCCCCAGAGAACGGCCTGCTGACAGAGGAAGGTGGGCTCCAAGGCAAGTGACACTTCTGGTCCTTGCAGACGCAGATACCTTATTGAATTTCTGGAGATCGGAGGTGTCCTGATTCTCCTGGAAGTACTGGGGCTGAACCACCTCAAAGAAGAGGACAAAAGGGAGTCTGTAAGGCTGCTGCAGCTCGTCGCAGATGGTGGCAGGAATTATAAGGAGCTCATTTGTGAAAGCTACGGTAGGCGGTGTATCCATCCCTGCTTTTTCCTAATTCAGGCAGGGACATTCTCCCGGAGCTCTGGCCCCGGGGATGCTCTCCGCCTTGAGCCGCTCCCTTCCCTGCGCCTGCCGGACGGCAGATTGCCGCAGCGCTTGGCTGGGAGGAGGTCAGTGCCTCGGCTGTTGTTGAGCGGTTGCATTTCATCCCCTCATTTTTAATGAGCTTGCTTTATTCACAGTCATTTCTTTTGATGCAATATTGCTGTCCTGCTGGTTGCAACTGCTCCGGTTAAAACCACAAATCAGTTTCCATTCTTACCTGCAATGTTCACCTGCTGCAAACTTTCCCAGCCTTCCCCTCTGGGGGTGGGAGGCTTTTGTGGTTTTTATCTTTTGAAAGAGCATTACAATGGGTTTTTTCCTCTTTTTTTCACTCGGAAGCCAAATGCCGTTAGTTGTTCTGTAGTTTGGATGACGTTGTCGGTGGCTATGGGGTGATACCTGCTGTCACAGCGTCCTCAGAGGGAGACGAAGCGGCAGGATCAGCAGAGGGGTCCTCACCAGCACTGCTGGCATCCCGGTGCCCGCCCGCAGAAGGGCCTTGGCCACCTACTGCAGCTGAGAACATTGCCGACCGGTTCTCCCGTTGGTAGTATGGCTCATGACAAGGACAAAGAACTTCTTTGCTGGCTTCCATTCTTCAAGCCACACTTCGGTCGGGACACAGTGCTGGATTCTCTCAGGGGTGACAGTGAAACAGCTGAGACGGGTGACCCAGGGTGACCCAGACCCATCCAGGCACACGACGCGGCGTCTCTTTCTCCGCCCAGGGGTGCAATCCCTCGCCGAGTTCTTGGCCACTTCCAGCTCAGCGGAGGCTCAAGAAGACGTGCAGGTGCTGCTGGTCTCCCTGGGCCGCGGCAATCCCAAGTACCAGAACCAAGTCTACAGAGGCCTCGTGGCCGTGCTGCCGTGCGCGTCCCCCCACGCGCAGCAGCTGGCTCTGCAGGCGCTGGGGGCCATGCAGGTGGGTCGCGGGCCTGGCTGGGGGCCAAGGGCG